GAAAAAAAGTATGGGAACAAAAAAAAAATGGAAAAATGACTTCTGAACATAGAAAAAACTTCAAACTGTACCAATCTTTCAGTCATTTTTTCCCGTAGATTTGCTTTAACAATCAAAACCAATTGCAAAAGCTTGAAACCCTAATCTTTCTCCACCTAAGTAGTTTTACCTGTTTGATTAACTAAGGTCTCTCTTTTATGTTTCTATGTTGTAGTTGAGAATAGGCGGTAAGAAGTAACAAAGACTGCTTGAGAGCTCCATATAACAAGTGGCAAAAAAAATTTAGTTACTTGAACATTTTCTTCAGTGGTCAAGGCTAAGTTACCTATATGGTTACACAAAATAAGCTAAAACTTACAATTCGCATTCATTTGGAGGAGGGGTCCCGCATGACAGCTTTGTATTGATGTTTGCGGCATTTAAACATAGGACACGATTGAGCCATTGTTCGATCTTAAGCAAACATGCCACGCTAATAGCATAATTTCGACAAACTCGAGAAAAGTACCTCATCGCCGGGTTTATATCTTATGCTTTCTTCCATGGTCAACTCATGCAATTTCCTACCTAAAATTGGCACAGATTTCGATATGGGGTAAAAAAAAAGACAAAGTGATATGTTTTAATATACCTTTGCTTGAAGCTAACTTTTCTCCTTTAGCGCTTCCAGCAGATTGCTGACGAAGCTGCTGGAGCAGTTTCAACGACAAACTCCTACCTGTCCCTTCATAACCATTGATTGTTGAGGACAAAAACACAATGTATGGTCCTGAAGTAACCGATTTAATCTGTGGAGAGTATCTTTTCACAATTAAAAAGTACCAAAAATCAACTCCTTCACTAAGGGAAGTGGTATAGCAGCGGCCTCATCCACCACAACTAGCTCGGCTTGGCCTAACTTCCCAGCATCGGATGGATGGATATACTAAGAATAATAAGATATATGCAATATATTGTATAACAGCTTTTCGCTTACCAAGGGCTCATAAAAATTATACCTGTATTGTTTGTCGATGTTCTCTGAAAACATTTACACGAACAAGCGCTTTTTGGAACTCTGGATTGGTGGATTGTATCAGCTCGTAATCAATGTGTTCCTAAGCACAATTGTAGTTAGCATAATTATGGAACAATCAAAATAATTCGATAAAAATAGTAATTGAAGCAAGAAAGACTGACCTGATATCCCATCGTGTCAAAGCCTTTAACGACAAATTCGAAAAGAGTCTTCAAATTTTCGGGTGAGGGCGATGTAACGAAAATGTTTGAGTATCCGAATGCAACTGCACCAGCTAGGGCAAGACCTGTAAACAGCGACAGTCAAAGAAACGTTAACGGAAATAAAACAAATGATGACGAATGACACGATAATTGTATAACTGTTCTTGGCCAATATAAAATGAACTCACCTAAAGAAGCGGACTTTCCTCGTCCTCTAGCAGCAGTAATTGAACACGTCACATTCATAACTTTGTCGGTAATTACGTCAAGCAACCTGAGATACAAAATATTCAGCGAGGAAATTAAAAGAAGGGCCAAGATGTATGAAAAGTGTCAGATAAACTGTACACTTTTGTCCTCACCTAAGCAGCGCTTTGCCCTGACACGCAGTTCGACACTTGTTGAGCAGCGGTCCAATAGGTTTTGTGTCTTTCATTCCCTCTTTCAGAGCCTTCAGCTCGGCTTCAGATGGGGATAGAGCACCCTAAAAACCTTCGTTTTTGATGATATACTGAATTCAAAAAAGATATAATACCTTCGCGGCTGGCTGTATGAGTTCTAACGAAGAAACGTGACCAGAGATAGGCAATATATGCAGTTGATCATCAACTACAACAATATTTTTGCAGCTAGCAAGCGAAAGTATGAAACGTTCGTTAAACCGAGCCACAATCTGTGTGTGAGACTCCGTTCGATAACGATTATGTACATCCTAAAGAAACAAAAAAAAAATGTTTTGAGCTG